ACTAACCCCGATTCTAGGGGTCCGGTTGGGGAGTTTGAGCTGATATAAAAGGACTCCCTCTTGTCCTAACAAAGGACCTGATCATCACACAACACAATAGATTCCTAAATTGCTATCTTCTAGCCTTATTGTCCTAATCAAGCCTTGTAATAGCTTATTAGCGATAATTAATACAATATACGGTCCCTGCGACCTACGGTCCCCGCGACCTTATTATATCTCTGAGTCACATTATTTATTTCGTACGTATATTTATCCGGGTTTAATAATTCGGGCTTCCCCCGGAGAATTAAATCCATCATTAATTATTAATTTATTAAAATTCTATATAAATTCAAAAATCTTTTAACTAATCCAGACTCATTGTTAAAGCCAATAATAATTAAATACATGCATTATTTAATTGTTGATTTTTCCAAGAACTCTTGTCGTTAAGTGATTTCTAAATTTATGTTGAATTTGTTTGAATACTATTGACTCTAGGGCAGTATCTGTGTTATATTTTCTTTGACTATTGCAGCTGAAAGACTCAATATTTCATCACCGGGGTTCAATCCTGTGACTTTCCCTTAAGGAGAGCCACAAAGGTGCCATCCGAGCACAAGGTGTTTGACAAATTTATGTAAAATTTAATTTTAATAAATTAATATGTTTCCCTAATTCCTTTTTTTTTTTTTAAAACTTAAATCTTTTTGTACAGATAAAAATTAATGTATAAGAAATATACCATTAAAAAGTTCTAAATGAGATATTTTAAATAACACTCATATTGATATTTTTTAAATTATTTAATTAACCTATGATTAAATTTTGAAAAATGAACTTTTAGATTTTAAAAATGATCCATACTTTACATCTCATAATCCTTACATAGTAGGAGCCAATCTATATTATATATCTGCAAGGTAATATGACAATTTTAGTCATTGTTTTAGAATAATTTTTAGTGTACAATTTGAACTGAAATATTTCACTGTGGTTGTTTCATAGTTCCCTCAAGATGTTGTCAACCACGTTCGAGCCACCCCGGTGGCTACAAGTGACCAGGTAAGTGATGTGCCATACTGGCCGAGTTCACCTACGGGTGCTTTCTCGGTACACAGCGCCTTTTGCTACATTGCAGGTACTGAAGCTGATGGCCCTGACTTAAGCTGGATCTGGAAGCTCCATGTGATCGAGAAATGCCTGACGTTTTTGTGGCTCGTTCTGAGAGATAAACTTCTCACAAATATGGAAAGATGGAGAAGGGGATTGACGAGCGATACAACATGCAAAGCCTGCGGAGAAGCTGTAGAGTCGATGGTGCATATCTTTACGACGTGCGACGTAGCGAGGGAAGTCTGGAGGAGGTCCTACCACCAAGTCTCCTTCCACTACGGGCTGATCACCAATCTGTCCATATGGCTGAAGAAAAACTGTTCTGAGAAGGAAATGCTTGATGGAAGACCTTGGGGCACTACTTTCATCTATTCATGTTGGGAGTTGTGGAAAGCGAGGAACAGACTGATCTTCGAAAATGTCACGACGCCACCTTCTGAAATCGTCCGGAGAGCTAATTCGTGGACCCAAGATTCTATCGAAGTTTTCTCCAAATTAAGCCTTCATTTATTCATCTTTTGTGGGATTTGCTTTCTCGTACAAGAAAAAAGTAACCAATTCTGTGCTTAGTAGCCCTTTCCTTAAAATTTTCTATAGAAACTGGATAAAGGGTAGACATTTATCAATTGGATTTTGTTCCTATAGCCTTTTTCTTAGAGATGAGAATAGAAGGCAACGGGCAAACAAGTAGCCTGTTTTTTATTAAAGGATGATGGAAGAAAGTAGATAAAGATATTCCCCAATTGGCATATCTTGTAAACATATCCAATAGTTAAATATGAGGAGATAAAGACCGTAAACATATACAGAAGAACCCTTATTTGGGACCTGTGGTGCTCTCAATGATTATTGATTGTTATTTCTTATAATAATATTTTGCATTTTTTTAAGTATCTGTTAATTTTTTTGTTGTTGTCATGGTCTTGTCAAAAATCATATAATTATTTTGCAAATTTATTATATCTATACTAATTTATTTACTCACTATTTACATGTAGTTCCAACAAGTTGATTATGACAAAGCGGTTATTGATCTGGTGCGTTCAAAATGGGTCGATATTCTATCAAGTTATATAGAGTAGGTATGATTTGACGTTGTGATCATTTAGACTTGGTTCGTGGATCGGAATTGTTTTTTGTAGTATTATGACTTGAATGATGATTTGATTAGAATTGGTCATGCTCAGTATTTTGAGTTGTTTTTATGAACCTTGCTTAGCTTGTGCAATGTAATTACACTTGGCCATGGTGAATGGATAAATGCTTCTATTTTTTTATATGATTAAAATTTAAGCAGGTTAAAAACGAGTTGAGACAACGGTTAAAAGTTGTCTATTTTACAATAGACAACAGTTTGAAATTGTTGTCTTTTTTTCAAAAGACAACAGTTTATGGGTGCGACTTTTAACAACAACGATTTCAACAACACACAATAGACAAAGTATATAACTGTTGTCTTTTAAAGAAAAGACAACAGTTAAAAACCGTTGTCTATGTGCATCACTTTTAACAACACCAGTTTCAACAACATTGAATTGACAATGGGTCAAAAACTGTTGTCTTTGGAAGAAACGACAACGGTTTAAAACCGTTGTCTATGTTCGTGACTTTTAACAACACTGATTTCAACAACACTTAATAGACAACGGTTAAAAAACCGTTGTCGTTTCTAGAAAAGACAACGGTTATTAACCGTTGTCTATGTGCGTGACATACAACAACACCGGCTTCAACAACACTTAATAGACAACGGTTAAAAAACTGTTGTTGTTTCTAGAAAAGACAACGGTTATTAACCATTGTCTATGTGCGTGACTTACAACAACACCAGCTTCAACAACACTTAATAGACAACGGTTAAAAAACCGTTGTTGTTTCTAGAAAAGACAACGGTTATTAACCGTTGTCTATGTGCGTGACATACAACAACACCGGCTTCAACAACACTTAATAGACAACGGTTAAAAAACCGTTGTTGTTTCTAGAAAAGACAACGGTTATTAACCGCTGTCTATGTGCGTGACTTACAACAACACCGGCTTCAACAACACTTAATAGACAACGGTTAAAAAACCGTTGTTGTTTCTAGAAAAGACAACGGTTAAAAAACCGTTGTCTATGCGCGGGACTTACAACAACACCGGCTTCAACAACAGAAATTATACCCCTACGACAACGGTTATTAACCGTTGTCTATGTGCATTTTTCTTGTAGTGGAATCAGATGGGTATCTTGGCAACCCCCGGAACCGGGCTGGATAAAACTTAACACCGATGGGGCTTCTAAATCTTCCACGGGTCTCGCAAGTGCGGGGGTCTTACACAGATGGGTATCTTGGGATTGCTAATAGTTTTGCTGCAGAGCTGTGGGGCCTAAGGGAGGGTCTACGGCTTGCAAAAGACAGAGGGGTTCGAAGAATTATTCTGGAGCTGGATTCTGAAGCCGTAGTGGCTATTATGAACGAAGACAGCTCAACAGACGAGTGCTTGTCTTCCTTGGTGAAAGACTGTAAGCTCCTGGTTACTAGCATGGACCACGTTATCGTTACACATACCTTACGGGAGGGCAACAAATGCGCGGACCACCCGGCCAATCTGGGTCAAGATGCTCCTTGGGGGACCTCATGGCTTGAGCTCCCTCCGTTAAGCCTCCATCCTTTCCTTGCGGCCGACGCCTTTGGGGCAACCGCAGTTAGAGTTTGGTAGTTCTCGGCTCCTTTCCCCGTCTTAACGGGTCTTTTTCTACAAAAAAAAAATATACGGCAAAAACTTGTGTGAGGCCATCTCACGAGTCTTAATCCGTGAGACGGGTAGGATTTTTGATTAATGAAGTCAAAGATCTGACCCATTATTTTTTTTTTTAAACATAGACTCATTAATATAAGATCTGGTGCGTCGCATAAATTGAAACTCGTTAGACGGTCTAACACAAGTGTTACTCTTTATATATTTGGTTGAGTAGATTCCACTTTTAACTTAAAGAAAAGTGGTGAAGTAATAATATCTTTTCCTTTCTTCAAATAAAAATATAGAATCATAATACCATACGAATATTAGCCTGAAAGCAACCAATCATTTTCATATTCCATAATTATCAGTGGAAAAAATGATAAATGGATTCTCGGGAGCATTCATATGTTTTGATTTTATTGAAGAAAAAACAAGAATTTTTTTAATAAATCAAAGTAACATATAAGTATAGTATGGAGTAGGAAATTAAATAAAAAGAAAAACCATGTGTAGAATTACTCTTATTCGTGACTCAGCGGGTTTTTTTTGGGTTGGACAACTGACCTAGAGGTTTAGAAGTTAGAACTGCCTCATACCCAGGATAAAGATTGAACATTTAACCTTTGGTTAAAAATAGATGAATCTCTTTCATCCAATGAGAACTGAATGAATTATATTGAATAAACTTAATTACAAAGATACATTATACATGAATATATATGGTGAGAGAATCACATGGAGACTAGGATATGTTGTCATAAATTAATGTAATAATCAAATAATACTCTAAAAAAATGTGATCTATAAAATAATCAAAATAAAACTAGTAATATAATTATGCTATCAAATTTTACTAGTAAAAATTACATTCGTTTTTTTTTTTTTTTCAATTTCACATCAAATTATCACTGACTCACATGATGAACAATGCATTGGAGCCCAATTGGCCAAGCCTTACTTGTTTTTGTATTGGGTGAATTCTATAAATGAAAGTGTTTCCCATTTCAATAGTTTGCCTTAGCTTGTATTCATTTTCGACAACTACTTCACTTAAATATGGATCTGAATATAAATTGGACAAAGAGAGACAGTATTCTATTTGAGTGTAAGTTGTCATTCATCAAAATAAATTCATCTTGTCTTTATCCACCTACTTCTACTTGGAAGCAATTGCAATTAAGAAACTACAGAGACTTGAAAGGCCTCCCCAACACACTCTGATCTTAAAGGACACAAGCACTGCTCTGATGCTCTCTATTTCTCTAACCTGCCCTACCCCCTTCCCTATCTACCGCCCAAAACCCCCTGGCCGATTTCTCTATCTATAAAAAATGGCTTCTCTCAAGATTTCCCACAACTTCACAACTCCACCCCACAGTCCTCTAACCTATCCTCAGCCTCGCCGGAGGACCGGTCACCCCTCAGCGGCTCAGCCAGTCAGGTAATATACTAATATCTTATTTTTAATTTTTTTTACTGTTAATTAAGTATTTAACTTTTACTATGATTTTTCATGTTCTACTAAACACCAGCAATCCGAAAAATAATTTTCAGAAATAATTTTTCGAGTTTTCAAACACACCCTAAATAATTTTCTAAACTTTAAAGACATGACATAATAAAGTTTGTTAAAACCCAAAATCTTTTTACTTTGGCCGAAACTATGTTTCTTTCTCAAGTTGCTTTCGCGTGTTGTTCCTAAAATAAGAATCTTTTTACTGTAGTTACTTTCTCAAGTTGTATTTTTGGTATCTGTTGGCGTAAACCAAATTTCCAAATTATTAACAATTTTGGGTTTTATAATTGTGACGGGGTGTTTCAGCTCGAGCTCTGCAATCCTCCTCTCACCTGCTCTACCCTCCCCTTCCCTATCTATAATTCTTAATTAAGATAGTTTTTTTCCGGAGTTTTTTCTCAAAATGGTCCCTTGACTATCGCTCATTCTCAATTTTGCATTTCGACTTTAAATTGCACCCAATGTGATCTCTTGACTTTTAAAAACTCCCCCAAATCGGTCCTCAGTTAGAAATTCCGTCTATTGAGTGTTAAAATGAGGGGTATTTTCGTCCGTTTACCTATTATATGTCTAATATACTCTGAAAAATAGTCGAGGGACCATTTTGGGAATAGTCGAGGGATCATTTTGGGAAAAACTCATTTATTTATTTCATTTTTGTTTATTTCCATTTTTTTTAAGACTATCAAATTAGAATTTCTATACATTTTTTTTTTCTTACAAATATAAATAGTTAAAATCCACAATCAAAAGTCAAAATTTTAAACTTTCCCTACAAATTTTTTCCTTTTATCTAAACATACCAACTTCTCTTTATTCCTATCAAGTTTTACAATAAGTTCCGTAAGTTTCAAAAATATAATACTCATATACTTTTTATGTTCACACACACACACACACAAAAACTTCAATAGACAATCAATCACTATGTATCACATTAAATATTATTTTTACCAATAAAAATAACATTACTATTTTTATCAGTTTAGACATCCAAAATGTACGCTTCATTTCTCGGTCAGTATGCCTTTGAAAATAAAATTATTATTTTTACAATCAATCTCTATGCTTCTAGCACTTCTTGGAACTGAGAAGTACGCGTCACTTCTCGGTCAATGACAAAATCTTAGAAAATATTTTTGAAAAGTTGGCTTAACATAACTTGCAAGGCCATTAGTTTCATTCCAAATTAAAGTTAGTACAAATTATAACTACCATTTCCAAATGCCTATCTACCAAGAAGTACATCATGCTAAAGAGAGTCTACAACTATGGCTATCAATTTTATGTGTTAAAGGACAAGTAAAATAAACCAAATGCAAAAATAATTAGCACAAAACAAGTAATTCTAAACCTAAAGCCTCATCATTTTTCAATATTACAAGTTCTTGTCATTTTGAAGTTTGTTTGTATTTTATATATGAATATTAATAAACTTAAATTTGAAAGTTAAACTTGTTTACCAAAGTACGAAACTTATTGTAAAACTTCATAGGGATAGAGGAAAAATTTGTATGTTTAGACAGAAGGAAAAAATTGTAGAGAAAGTTTAAAAACTATTTATATTTGTAAGAAAAAAAAATCTATAGAAATTCTAATATGATAGTCTTAAAAAAATAGAAATAAATAAATGAATTTTTTCCAAAATGGTCCCTCGACTATTTTTCAGAGTATATTAGGCATATAATAGGTAAACGGACAAAAATGCCCTTCATTTTAACACTCAATAGACGGAATTTCTAACGGAGGACCAATTTGGGGGAGTTTTTAAAAGTCAAGGGACCACATTGGGTGCAATTAAAAGTCGAAATGTAAAATTGAGAATGAGCGATAGTCGAGGGACCATTTTGAGAAAAAGCTCTTTTGTGCTATAATTGTGAAAAAATGTTGAACTTCCTAACTCTTTTCTTCTCTACAGTGTTTAGTTTTCTGCCTTCAACCTCTGTTGGTTTCAGTGGGTTCTCCTGTTTTTTCTCCGGTAGAAACTCAGGCACCATAAGGCCTCTGGCCGGGAGTTCACGGTTCTGGCCACTGTTCAAAGGTATGTTAGTTAAAGCTCTTCGCATGTTCCTTCTTAATTAAGATGGTTTAATTTGTGCTCCAATTTTGCAAAAAGTTTATTCAACTTCTTTTATATATATATATATATATATATATATATATATATATATATATATATAGAATCGCACTCACATGCGAATGTTTCGCCCAGACGCGAAATAGGAATGGATTCTGTCTGTCCACGTGTCCAGATGTAATGGTTGAGAAACATTGATTTAAAAAAAAAAACGCGGTGACATTTTCGCAAATAATTGAACATCAAAGTGCAAGTAAAATGTAATACAAGTGCATGTAAAATGTATTATAGGTGCAAGTAAAAATTTACACGGAGCATCAATACTAAGTGCACCTATAGTTATAAGTAGTTGCACCTATAGTTCTAAGTAGTTGCACAAATAATTATAAGTAGTTGCATCTAGGTGCATGAATGTTTGCGGGTGGTTTTCAGGGGTATTACTACCCGCTGAACTCTGATTAATGAATGTTCACAAGACAAAATTACATGCACTTATAGGTGAAAGTAGGTGCACCTATAGTTATAAGTAGTTGCAAATATAGTTATAAATAGTTGCACATATAGTTATAAGTAGGTGCACCCATGTGCATGAATGTTTGCGGGAAGTGAATGTTAACGAGGCAAAATTACATGCACTTATAAGTGAAAGTAGGTGCACTTGTAAGTGATTTTACATGCACTTCAATATTCAATTATTTACGAAAATACCACCGTATTTTTTTTAATCTATTAGATCTAGACACGTGTCGCGCACGGATTCGTTCGCATATTCTCTCTTAGGCACTTATTCGCACCTGAGTGCAACCATATATATATATATATATATATATATATATATATATATATATATATATATATATATATATATATATAGTATGCTCAAGTAGGGTGAGTAGCAAACGGCCGACCAAAAACCGATTAAAATTTTTGACCGACCAAAGAGTTGACGCTCGGCTACACAAAATATTCAACAATTAATACATATACTGTTATGCCCGTCTCCAAAATTCAAAATACCAAATAATATGCACATTGTCAAAGTTACGAACAGTCCAACACTCAACAAATACTAATATACCAAAGTCTAAACAAAGTAATAAAACCATTGTCTAAACAAAGTAATAAAATCATTTCAAAGTGATAACTATCTACTTCTGCAAATGAAGTCAATTTATCACCAAATACTTGAAGGAATGGCTGGGCTGCCTCTGCTTGGTGATGACATCTGATTACAGAAGTACCAAGTAGTTTTAAAATTATGCAGCACAAGAACCAAATATTTTGAAACAGTATGAATTAATAGATGAAGTTAGTGTTAATTGAAGTGAATTATATAATCAAAGTCCCACTTTCACTACATTTTGATACTCTAAAGTTCATCAGGAATCATGGCCAACCATGTTTCATGATGCATACATGTTTACCAATTAAAAAACATAAACTATTAATTAAAGTCGTATCATAACCATCAAAATTAAGATCTTAATATGTTTATTATAAATTTTATTTTACTAGCAATCATAAGGTGTATGATTCAAATCCTTCTAAAGACTAAAAAACAAAGGTATAAATTTAATTAGCATGGATACTAGTATATAAATATTTGAGTCTATAAATCAATTGAAACACAGTACATTTACCTCCTTTATCAATTTTTAAAGGAGGAGAAACACCCAAAGTTATATTAAAACTAGAACTCGTAATTATTAATTTCTCCACCGCCCCAACTGCCAAGTAGGAGCAAAAAATTAAATTCTAGTGTATTGTACCATTAATTCTAACTTCTCAGTTTGGAAACAGTTCTAAAATTATTTTACAATTAATTGATGCAAAAAAAAAAAAAAAAACTTTATTTATTGGAAGCAAGAAACAAGAAAATAGCGTCGGTATGGAATTAAGTTCTATTATAGAGAAAAAAGTATGAAACAATAAAGCTAGGGCATAATCCATGTTACCATTTTAATTATGCAATTTAAACTAAAAGAATGTATTAATTAAATATTTAAAACTTATTTTTGGGATTGGACATGATATTAAAGGTGTAATGGGAAACTTTTTTTTTTTTTTTTTTTTTTTGATTGCGTTTCATGAAATAAACAATCCAAAACACACTATATATAGATTTGCGTTTCATGATATTAAAGCTAGGGTACGAGTTTGATTCTTTCACACACCCTTTCAGTTGGTTTTGGTCTCAGCTCACAAAGTCTTTCTAGTACATTTTATTTTTTTCAGTATAAATTACGAGTTATTGCATATGAATTAACAAAACAGCATCCACCATTGATACAAAAGACTCATCATGTGACAACACAAACTACGTTTCCATTGAATTAAAGACGGCATATGCACATACTTTGTTAAAAAAATAAAAACTAGTTGCAAGTTATATTGTAGTTTCCACAAACCTTTGTTCTAGTAGCTAATAAGCATTATGATGGAATTATAAGTAAGTAAAACATTAAAACACTAGATTACACACTATATTACAAAAAAAAAAAAAAAACATTAAAAAACTACTAAAACATGCGCAACTCTATCAACCATCAGCTTCTTCTACTTCTTTTGTTTTTTCTTCTTCCTTTTTTTTTTCTTATTCTTCTTGTAAACTCTTTATCTCCATATTCTTTCCCCATATGAATAGATACAATCCAATTATAATCAAAGACATGCCAATAATGCTGCAATATAATATCAATTAAACATATATGAATTACAGAAGCACATTAATTAATTAATCTTTTCCATTTGAAAAGGAAAAAAGAAAAAAAAAAAAAGGTGAGGGACATGCATAACCTGTCAACTGAGATGGATTGTCCTAAAAAAAATGACTTCTATAATAGCTACCAGAACGAGGGACAATGGATTGAACATTGCCGGATCAGTGGGTTCGGCTTTAGCAATTGTCTATAAAATTATAGAGAATGTTAAAGCACTCAAGAGAACACCCTGAAAATTTAAATTACATTTAAAAATAAAAATCTCTTCAATTATAATCTTAAAAATGAAACCAACATATATACAGAAAGAAATTAAAGATGATGATATATAGTACGTACGTACCGAATAAAACATTGTAAGGAGCTCCATGTTCCAACCCAGTTTCCATGAGGCTTTTGTTCTATCAAAACAATGGCCTACCACAGTGCTTTGAATTTCCCCCATCAGGCTTGCAATCATTGTGACAGAATATTTGTACGGGAAAATTTTTGATCACCTTGGTCTTCAAGTTTAAAATATTCAAGACAAAATCGATTAATTTGATTTACAACGTTAGCTACATGTCAAGCTTGTAGTGTAATTATCAGTGTGATGTACCAAAAATTATAACCCAAGAGACTACAGGAAAGAAATATAGTCGCACGCTTTTAGTTGGGTTTTCCGTGAGTGTGGTCGTTGGAAGCATGGCCATAGCATGAGCCAGATGAAATGAATGGCCCTTGTACAACACCATAGTTAACCCTCGGGCAAGACAAATCATTGCTCCAAAGAGTTTAACTTTTCCGGCCTAGGTGGTCAACCTTAGCTTTTCAATACTTTAACATAGAACAACAAGTGCAAAAAAATTAAAGTTTAAGTGTAAAGTGTTCAAAATTATTTTTTAATGTCAAGAATTGTGATGACTAAAAATAAAATAAAAAATTACTTTTATAATTTTAAGTTACCAAAAATATAAAATACTTTTAACAAAATAATGTTGTTACAACTCACATAGAATAAAAATCATACCGAAAAATTATTGAGATGACAAAGGTAGTTATTGAGACTAGATTGAAGAAGTTTAATCCGTACGTTGTTGTGGTGTCTCGAAGACCATAAAAATAAAATCCAAAAGCTATAGGTGTCCTGTCAAGTGATGACAATGTATTATTAGAAGTTTATACCCTTCAATTCATATAATGCAATTTATCATCAACAATAAAATTAAAGTCAACTTTACGTTAATAAATTTGATGAAGATATATAAAATTTTAGATGCTAGCCAACCTAGTCAAGTTGGTAGTAACCCAATCAAAACAAAGCCACCTAGCTAAAAATTGAAGTTAAGTAAGAATGAAAATAACGACATGATTAAGTACCTGGACAATGCGAGGAAGAAAAGCCACATCACAATAGAAAATTTCAAATTCCTCAAGCTTTTCCTGTTACGTACAAATGGAATTGAATATTATTAGTGTATTATAATTAGAAAAAAATTAAGAAAATGAACTAAATAAATGTGTTGGTTACCTTTCCCATAAAAAAGCAAAAGGGGCTACGTAGAGAGTGACAATAATGTGACAGTAAGTCACTAAAACAAAAAACAAAATTTCACTTTGCTAAGATTAACTTAGCTAAAATTTGTAAACCAGCTAAAAAAAAGTTGTACCACGCCCAATCAACTTTTTTTTAGTTGGTTTACAAATTTTAGCTAAGTTAATCTTAGGAAAGTAAACTTTTGTTTTTGCTTTAGTGACTTACCGTCACATTATTGCCACTTTCTACGTGGCCCCTTTTGCTTTCTTATGAAAAAGGTAACCAACACATTTATTTAGATCGTTTTCTTAATTTATTTCTAATTATAATATACTAATAATATTCAATTCCAGTTGTATGTAGCAGGGAAAGCGTGAGAAATTTGAAATTTTTTATTGTGATGTGGCTTTTCTTCTTCGCATTGTCCGAACTTCGGGTACTTAATCATGCCGTTATTTTCATTCTTACTTAACTTCAATTTTTAGCTAGGTTGCTTTGTTTTGATTGGGTTACTACCAACTTGACTAGGTTGGCTAGCATATGAAATTTGATCTTCATCAAATTTATTAACGTAAAGCTGACTTTAATTTTATTGTTGATGATAGATTGCATTATATGAATTGAAGGGTATAAACTTATAATAATACAGTGTCATCACTTGACATGATACCTCTAGCTTTGGGATTTTATTTTTATGGTCTTCAAGACACAACAACAACGTACGGATTAAACTTCTTCTGTCTAGTCCCAATAACTACCTTTGTCATCTCAATAATTTTTCGGTATGATTTTTATTCTACGTGAGTTGTAACAAAATTATTTTGTTAAAAATATTTTATATTTTTGGTAACTTAATTATAAAAGTAATTTTTTATTTTTACTTTTAGTCATCATAATTGTTGACATTAAAAAATAAATTTCAACACTTTACACTTAAACTTTAATTTGTTTGCACCTGTTGTTGTATGTAAAAGTATTGAAAAGCTGAGGTTGAACACTAAGGCCGGAAAAGTTAAACTCTTTGGAGCAATGATTTGTCTTGCTGGAGAGTTAACTATTGTGTTGTACAAGGGTCATTCATTTCATCTGGTTCATGCTATGACCAAACTTCCAACGATCACTCACGGAAAACCCAACTGAAAGCGTGGGACTATATTTCTCTTGCCTGTAGTCTCTTGGTTTATAGTTTTTGGTACATCACACTGGTAATTATACTACAAGCTTGACATCTAGCTAACGTTGTAAATCAAATTGACCGATCTTGTCTTGAATATTTTAAACTTGAAGGCCAAAGTGATGAAAATTTTCCCGAACAAATATTCTGTCACAACGGTTGCAAGCCTGATGGGGGCAATTCAAAGTACTGTGGTAGGCCTTTGTTTTGATAGAACAAAAGCCTCATGGAAACTGGGTTGGAACATGGAGCTCCTTGCAATGTTTTATTCGGTACATATGTAGTATATATCATCATCTTTAATTTCTTTTTGTATATATGTTGGTTTTATTTTAAGATTATAATTGATGAGATTTTTTTTTAAAATGTAATTTAAATTTTCAGGGTGTTTTCTCGGAGTGCTTTAACATTCTATATAATTTTATAGACAATTGCAAAAGCCGGACTCACTTATCATGCAATGTTCAATCCATTGTCCCACGTTCTGGTAGCTATCATAGAAGTCATTTTTCTAGGACAATTCATCTCAGTTGGCAGGTTATGCATGTCCCTCACTTATTTTTTTCTTTTTTCCTTTTTAAATGGAAAATATCAATTAATAATGTGTTTCTGCAATTCATATATGCTTAATTGATAATTATATTGCAGCATTGTTGGCATGTCTTCGATTATAATTGGATTGTATCTATTCACATGGAAAAAGAATATGGAGATAAAGAGTTTAGAAGAAGAAGGAGAAAAAAATAAGGAAGAAGAAAAAATAGAAGAAACGGGAGAAGAAGCTGATTGCTAATGGAGTTGGCGCAAGTTTCAATAGTTTTTTAATGGTTTTTTTTTTTTAATTTTTGTAATATAGTGTGTAATCTAGTGTTTTAATGTTTTACTTATTATAATTCTATCATAATTCTTATTAGCTACAAGAACAAAGGTTTGTGGAAACTACAATAGAACTTGCAACTAGTTTTTATTTTTTAACCAAGTACGTGCATATGTCGTCTTTAATTCAATGGAAACGTAGTTTGTGTTGTCACATGATGAGTCTTTTGTATCAATGGTGAATACTATTTTGTTAATTCATATGTATAGTAATAACTCGTAATTTATACCGAAAAAATAAAATGTACTAGAAAGACTTTGTGAGCTGAGACAAAATCAACTGAAAGGGTGTGTGAAAGAATGAAATTTGTAACCTTTTAATAGGAGAATTATACTTCACCCGCTTAATTATCCTTTTGGACAAATCTATAGTGTGATTTTGATTGTTTGTTTCATGAAACACAATCCAAAAAAAATTGTTTCTCCTTAGACCTTTAATATCATGTTTCAATCCCAAAAATAACTTTTAAATATTTAATTAATACATTCTTTTAGTTTAAATTGCATAATTAAAATGGTAACATGGATTATTCTGTACCTTTATTGTTTTATACTTTTTTCTCTACAATAGAACTTAATACCATACCGGCGCTTTTTTCTTGTTTCTTGTTTCTTGCTTCCAATAAATAATGATTTTTTTTTGCATCAATTAATTGTAAAATAATTTTAGAATTGTTTTCAAACTCAGAAGTTAGAATTAATGGTACAATACAGTAGAATTTAATTGTTTGCTCCCAACAGTAGAATTTACTAGGCAGTTGGGACGGTGGAGAAATTAAAAATCACGAGTTTTAGTTTTAATATAAGTTTGAGTGTTTCTCCTCCTTTAAAAATTGATAGAGGAGGTAAATCATAAAATGTGTTTCAAATGATTTATAGACTCAAATATTTATATACTTGTATCCATGCTAAATTTATACCTTTGTTTTTTAGTCTTTAGAATGATTTGAACCATACACCTTATGATTGCTAGTAAAATAAAATTTATAAACTTATTAAGATCTTAATTTTGATGGTTATGATACGACTTTAATTAATAGTTTATGCTTTTTAGTTGGTAAACATGTATGCATCACGAAACATGGTTGGCCATGATTCTTGATGACCTTTATGGTATCAATGTAGTAAATGTGGGACTTTGATTATATAATTCACTTCAATTGCCACTAACTTTATCTATAAATTCATACTGTTTCAAAACTTAGAGACTGCTGCCGCCTGCCTGAGAACAACTACGCCCAGTGACCGACGAATCCTGGCAGCCTGCTGCGTGTCTGTGACCGCAAGACTGCTGAGACCGGAGATGGAGGGCTGGAGAGTGGAGGTGATGGAGGATTGGAGGGCTGATCGAGAGAGTAGCGACACTGGTCAGTCTTCACGTAATCACATTGCGTCGTTGCGAATTGCGACAAATCCGACAATGTGATTGTAGGTCTTATCATCTGTCCGTATGTCTGTCTACTCTTAGGGACTAGGGATTAGGGTTTGAATAGTACTGACTAGGGGAAGGGTATCCCTGTCCCCGATCCCCCGAATTTTTTCCCGTCTGTTTTAAATTCCTAATTTTATAATCTAATAAAACTAAATAACTACTCATATATATATATATATATATATATATATATATATATATATATATATATATATATATATATATATATATATATATATACATATACAGACACACACACACACACACACACACACACACATATATATATATATATATATATATATATATATATATATATATATATATATATATGTATATGTATGTATATGTATATATGTATGTGTGCGTGTGTGTATGTGTGTGTGTTTTCAGAGACGGGGTGGGGCGTGGAGGGGTATCCCTGTCCACGATCTCCAGAATTTTTTCTCATCCTGGTCCCCTACGGGGACGAGGATACCCAACGAGGACGAGACACATTGTCATCCTTATTCAAGAATATTCAACAACTAGGAAGACGTCAGAGTTTGTTACGCATAACGGATTATGCATAGAGATGTATCACAACAAATTGTGGTAGGCACGAGCACGTATAGCACGTGTAATTGTCTTATTCGTAATCAATTATACATTTTAACTCTAAACTAGCTAGTATACATATGATTCTTTTTAATTTTAATAATATAGTGATTGGAAACAACTTTAATACATTCCATTATATATTAATGTTGAGAGCACCAAGCTAATCAAAGGCTTGTTTTTCATCATATATGTATATATACACACACACACATGCACACACACACACACACACACACACACACATATACACACACACACACACACACACACACACACACACACACACATATATATATATATATATATATATATATATATATATATATATATATATATATATATATATATATATATATATGCGGATCCAGTGAGACCCTTATGGTACATGAGATGTGATCTCATCACACCCATTAATTCATTGTCAATAGATGGTTAAGATTGAAAGAGAAATGTAAATTAATTAAGGATATATTTAAACTAGAAGGATAAACAAGTAATTTTAGTCATGTGTTTAAATTTGGTGAGAATCAAATTGAAATCATTAGCTTGATATTAGGGACAATATAAATGACGACAACTAGTTTTAACATGTGTACATAGCTGTTGACGAGAAAATGTGCCTAGAGTTGACTGAATACGACATCAATTCAGAACTTGCAAAATGGATAGTCACAAAACTGGTGCGTGCAACTGTAATATTAATTTTTTTTTTTGCTAATTCTTTACGGTGGTCTGTGCGAGTAAGAACGATGGCATGTGCATTTTGTATGGACTTAGTTCTATGTAATTTTTTTTAGGGTTTTCAAGATTATTAGTTGGTGTGTGTGTGTTAGTACACATTGGGGGTTTGGTTTTGAAGAAAAAAACTTAAATAATGCAACTAGTTTTTTTTCGACATGTGGCGTATAATACGTTAGTGTGTGCGTATATGTGTTTTCGCGTTTGCAAATTGAATGGATTGGGGGGGGGGGGGGGGGGTGTAACACCCCCGATTTTCAACAACTTTTAAAAGAAATTAAAGCTTTGAAAACGGATAAAGTCTACTCATTAAGATTAAACAAGGCGGAAGCTAACTAAACAAACCGGAAGGTGCTATGCCTCACCTATAACAAACATAGGTGCACAGGCAGATACTACAACTACAGCAGCTTAACAATTCCACTACTTAAGCTTACAGGCCTCAAAAACTATTAAAGGAAGAGATTAATCTATCTACAGGCCACTAGCGCGCTCTCCAAAGCTACCCAACCTGTAAAGCATCAATAAGAAATGGGACGACGCCCGGTCAGCGAATAATGTTGGTAACCCACCAATACCTGTTAAGTATCATATGTAGATAGTTTATATATACAAAATCATTTGCGAAACGGGATATAGATTATATAAGTTCAAAACCAAAAGCAGAAGTCAAAACAAGACTCTATGCACTCACAACAAGAATACGGGAACACATCCCAAAACCACAAGAAGTAATAACGACTCACAAGAACGGCTCAAGGCATAACCTACCATCACACAGTAGATTAACACCCGACATGCATAACACAAGAGAGTAAAGACATAACCATTGGCAACACATGCCGTTGTGACATCACACGTCACAAACAGAGAATACACAACCACGGCTACCCAAGCCTTCGTGACATCACTAATCACGAATTGATATGCCTTCCTTATGCCCGGTTCCAACCTTATATCTAGTTCCAACCTTTACCTCTAGGAACCCTGTACACCAAGTCCAACCTTATTCCCCCGGGAACCGTCGTTCCCCCTCCAACAGTCCCTCCAACAGAACCACCGATTTCATAGTACACGAGGGTACCGATCACACATGGCAACACATGCCCTGGATAACACATGTTATCCCAGAAATAAACATGTGGACCTTACACAAAGGCCACAAACTCCATAATCACGTCATGGCCACCACGAGGACCACTGCCGTACCTTGGTGATTAAGGCCCCATAAACCGAAATCGTGCAATCCAGGTACAGCCATAGACACCACACCTCAACAGGAATCGATCAACGGATCACAACGAAGATATGAAACCATACTCAATCAAGGAATGGGTCACAGCCCAACAACAACGATGAATAACACAAGTCATCATCAACAATAGGAATGTACAAACAACACACACGCTAGCATTTAAACACCAAACTAGCATGCTCATCAAACGGGTAAACTAAACGTAGTTCCGAAGAACACACAAGACTCATCACGGTTCAACGAAACACAATGTTGAACACTTAGCACGATTCAAGACACCAAAACCTACATGGATTCCTACCATATAGTTCTAGACATACGAAACATCAAGAAGACGCTCAAATAGTTCCACAAAAGAACATCGGGAAGTCAAAAGACCAAATACCGAGTCAAAAGAATCACGGGGAACAAATCCCCGCCAAGCCAACATATGTACCCCGCGGGTGGGCCCACGCGTGGACCCTCACCCGTGGTTCTGCCCGCGGGTACACACCCACCAAACCACGTTCCCCGCGGGTGGGGCGGCGGGTGGAGCTCTGCCCGCCGTTCCGCCAGCGGGTACACCACCTGTACAAAAATAATCCCTTCGGGGATTTTCAACACCAAGCTCAAATTCAAGTCCAAAGCATGCGAAATCTCACCAAATACAACAAAATGACTTGAATCAAAGGAATAGCCAAGCAATGGCATACAAGAACCCTAAACACAAGCTCTAGATATGCATTTTCACAAGACAAGGCATAAACACTCACATTTCATAGCAAAATCACATGTAGAATCCAAGAATCATCAAATAGGTAAGCAAAATAGATTTTGTAGAGCATGGGTTGTGACACCCCGTAATCCAAATTCGAATAAGGGATTAATTAAGTAATTAATCCTAATTCAATTGGTAATTTAATTACTTAAATTCCTAAAAATTCAATAGTCGGGGACTAGTAATTGACTAGTCAACCCCAAAGTCAAGGTTGTACCTTAAGCTTTGTGAGTAGTTCCCTTGTTCCCTTACATCTCTTCATTTTAGTAAGGGTATTCATGACTTTTTACCTTGTGTTATTAATGCAAGCTAACCTAGTAGACACTCCTCATTTCTCTCCTTACACTTTCCAAACTTTAGCTCTACCTTCTCTCTAAAAGCTAGATAGCTTTTCTTCCAAGCCAAGTTGGAGCTTTGTCAAATCTTCAAGGGTTGTCTCCAAGATTCTACCTTTCATACATTTGAGCATCTAGGAGGGTAAGATCTATGTTCATCTTGTGTTTTTAGTGTTTTCTAAGGTGTCTTTTCTTAAAAGATAAAATCTTTATGATCTTTTGGTGTGTTCTTGAAGTGGGTTTGGAAGGTGAGCCTTATTAGGAGCTTGGTGATGTGTTAAGTGAAGGTTTTTGTCTACAAGAGGTAACCCATGCTCTACAAAATCTATTTTGCTTACCTATATGATTATTCTTGGATTCTACATGTGATTTTGCTGTGAAATGTGAGTGTTTATGCATTGTCTTGTGAAAATGCATATCTAGAGCTTGTTATTAAGCTTCTTGTAAGCCATTGCTTGGCTATTCCTTTGATTCAAGTCATTTTGTTGTATTTGGTGAGATTTGGCATGTTTTGGACTTGAATTTGAGCTTGGAGTTGAAAATCCCCGAAGGGATTATTTTGGTGTTCAGGTACGTACCCGCGGGCGGAACGGCGGGCAGTGGCCTACCCGCCGCCCACCCGCGGGGTACAAGTTGGTCGTGGGTGTGTACCCGCGGGCGGAACCACGGGTGGGGGCCTACCCGTGGGCCCACCCGCGGGGAACACGCTGGTGTTGTTGAAGGATTTGTTCCCCGTGATTCTTTTGACTCGGTATTTGGTCTTTTGACTTCCCGATGTTCTTTTGTGGAACTATTTGAGCGTTTTCTTGATGTTTCGTATGTCTAGAACTATGTGGTAGGTATCCATGTAGGTTTTGGTGTCTTGAATCGTGCTAAGTGTTCAACATTGTGATTCGTTGAACCGTGATGAGTCTTGTGTGTTCTTCGGAACTGCGTTTGGTTTACCCGTTTGATAAGCATGCTAGTTCGGTGTTTAAATGCTAGCGTGTGTGTTGTTTGTACCTTCCTATTGTTGATGATAACTTGTGTTATTCATCGTTGTTGTTGGACTGTGATCCATTCCTTGATTGAGTATGGTTTCATATCTTCGTTGTGATCTGTTGGTTAATTCCTGTTGAGGTGTGGTGTGTGTGGCTGTACCTGGATTGCACGATTAGTGGTATGAGACACTAGTCACCAAGGTACGGCAGTGGTCCTCGTGGTGGCCATGACGTGATTATGGAGTTTGTGGCCTTTGTGTAAGGTTCACGTATTTCTTGGGTTGTATGTGTTGTCGTGTGTGTGATTGGTACCCTCGTGTACTATGAAATCGGTGCTTCTGTTGGAGGGACTGTTGGAGGGGGAACGACGGTTCCCGGGGGAATAAGGTTGGACTTGGTGTACAGGGGTCTTGGAGGTAACGGTTGGAACTAGACATAAGGTTGGGGGTAGCCATGATGAGAGATGTGAATCGACAATTCAATTAACTAACAGAATAGGAGCTACAAGTATATCAGAAATAGACATCTAACTAACGCTCAGTAAAAGTCTAAACTAACTACACTATTCTATAACAACATTTGACTACTACAATTGTAACACAATAATGATAATAATAATAATAATAATAATATTACTAACACACCCCCTCAAGCTAATGGTTGGTGCACCACAACATTTAGCTTGTCTCGTTGAGCGACAAAACGCGGAGCTGGTAGCGGTTTGGTGAGGAGACGCTAGCTGGTCTGTAGTAGAAACATAGTTGACGACGAAGTCCCCGGAGGCTACTTTATCTTGAACGAAGTGGTAGTCAATCTCCACATGTTTAGTGCGGGCATGAAATACAGGATTAGCACAGAGGTAGGTAGCCCCAAGATTATCACACCACAAGGTAGCAGGCTGACCAAAATGTAACCTAAGTTCACGTAGCAAAGAAACCACCCAAGTGACTTAGGCAGAGACATCAGCCAACGCCTTGTATTCAGCCTCGGTAGACGAGCGGGCAACGGTACGATGCTTCTTCGATAGCCAAGAAATGAGATTAGACCCCAAATAAACTGCAAACCCACTCGTGCTCTTCCTATCTATCGGACAACCGGCCCAGTCGGAGTCAGAAATGGCATGTATAGTAGTGGAAGAGGACGGTGTTAACCGCAATCCGTAATGAAGCGTCCCTTTAATGTAACACAGTACCCGCTTAACTAGAGTCCAATGATCAATAGTTGGTGCATGCATAAATTGGCACAGACGGTTTACCGCATACGACAAGTCTGGTCGAGTAATGGTGAGATACTGTAAGGCCCCAACAACGCGTCGATACTGCGTAGGATTGTCAAACAACTCGTCAGACGGAGTAACGGCCTTAGTGACAGCAGCTGGTGTAGCCAGAGGTTTGCAATCAATCATACCTGACCGACCAAGTAAATCAGACATATATCGGCGCTGCGAAAGAATAATATTATCCCCATCTGTGACTGTCTCAAACAGTAATAGGCTAATACCAGGGGGCCCTAGTAATAGCTATTACCTTGTTTGAGGTAATAGGCTATTACAAGGAATATTATTCCTGGTAATAGAAATGGTTACCAAACAAAAAAATTAATAGGCCTATTACTGGGAATGCTATGCCATTCCCGGCCTATTCCGTGAACCAAACGGGCCATAATAGTTTTATTTCAAAATGGTAATTTTTTTTTGAAGACAAAATGTTAAATTTTACTCCGTAAACAAACTAATTTAAATTTTATGTAGATGCCCTTTTTGTCTTTTTACATTTATTAGCTTATCAAAACGCTAATTTTACCAAACACTTTCAAGCATAACAGCTAGTTTAACAGCTCTTCAATTTTCAGCTCCTAGCTTATAGCTTTTCAACTTTTAGCTACCTTTTCAGCTAGGTTTGCCAAACATAGCCAATTTATTTAAAAATCTTATGTAATTATAATATTATTATTAGATATTTTGTATATGAGTATTTATGTCATTTAAAAACATTCTATTTCTATCCAGTGACGACCTCCCATTTAGAAGATAAACAATTATGCTACTTGACCACAAGGTCTTTTTGATCGGCAATTCCATTTCATTTCTCATATTTCTATTCCTTTAAAATACATAGTTAGTTCCTTAAATTCTACTTTTCCCAAAAGAAAAAATAATGGAGAGGTCAGATAAGGTATATCTGCGACAAAAATTGGAGTGACTATTTTGATAAATACTAAACTAAAGTTGGAAAAAAAAAATTAATAATAATAATCCTGAAAACTGATTGGGATTTAAAAAATAAAATCTACGGAATTGATGCGGGAAGCAAAGAATTAAGCAATCCCATGGGGTCGGGCCACAAAGAAATGGTAGCCAAAAAAACTACATCTCACCAGTCACCGCTAGCTTCCAAGTCCTCCTCCGTCCTCTTGCAGCCACGCGGTTGAAACTCCTTACGTGTACACCACCGCCACCACTTCATTTTATTTTCTCACACAGATCAGAAAAAAATCAACCAACTAATTTTCTCTCTTTCATCATCTTCATCTATCGTTTAGAGCTCATCATCTCATCCGATCAATAATGGGTCCGCTCGTACTGACGCCATTAGCTACGGGTCTGGGCGTATTGGCCGGCGCAGTTGTGGTGAAGTCAGTGATGGAGCAGAAAGCAATGATGGGGTCAGGGAAATTCCCCCGGTGTCCCTCCTGCAACGGCACCGGCAGGATCTCCTGCCTTTGCTCCCGCTGGTCGGACGGGGATGTCGGCTGTCGGACCTGTGCCGGTTCCGGTCGAATGGCGTGCAGTAGCTGCGGCGGCACCGGAACTGGCCGTCCTATTCCAGTTCAAATCTCCGTTCGTCCTCCCAATAGGCCGTCGTAATAATAAATATATATATTTAGTACTCTAATTACACTGTACTGCCGTGTATTTATCATGTTATCTATCTCATATTTTATATACGCTTTTGATTTGAAAAACTAAAAGAAAAACAAATTCTTATGTACTCCATTATATATTATTGATATATGATGATAGATGCTTTAAAGTTAAGTATACATGGGAAATATATGGTTTAATTTTCACTTCAAACAGCTCATTCTTTTTTACTTTAATTTGTTGGTTAATTGTGTGAGTGCCTGAATTAAGGAGTTTGAGGTTATCTTGCAGAATTATTGAATAATAATAATTATGTTCATTTTTTGAAAATAATAAAAGTGAACACCCATTCAATATTTGTGTACTCGTGAAATTCTGCAAGAGACCAAGAGGTGAAATTAACTATACATGGGAAATGGTTTTGACTTCACTTGCGGAAATTTAATTTGCACGCATGGGCAGTTCAAGTGGTTATAGATGTAAAATTTGTTCTAAAAGATTAAAAATAGAGTCTTATCAACGATATTTCTATGCATAGAATGAATTGTGAACTGGTCTACTTTAATTTGCAATGTGAACCCATGGTCTGCAATATAATGACTTCACGAAGCAAGTTGTACGAGTTTACCTTATAGCAGGAATTACATTAATTAGTAAAGCTAAAACAAATTAAAGGAAAATAAATTGTAAAGAAAACGCACATCATATTATGAATTCTTTTTTAGATAGTTGGGAGTTATCGCTTCTACATTTGCGTGGCTCCAACTCAAAAGTCTCAATCTATACTAATATACCCACCCAGTATAGATTACAGACGGCAATGTAAATAAACTACCAAGAGTCATTGTGACTCATATCGAACCCAAGTTGTAATTGCGGGCGAAACCAGTGGATCAGCATTGTAAAAGGAAGCAAAAAAGAAAAATGAAAACGAAGCGTTTTTTATGGAGCTAAAAGAAAATAACGCTTTACATAATGCATGGTATTGCCGCTAACCGTGTAAGACTTGGAAAGAGATAGTTATGTAAAATAGGCTCATATGGATTATTTCTTTTTCCTTCTTGTCCAACTTTATAAGACCAGTCACCTCGCCAAATTTCACTGAGTGGTAATTTGTAAAGAAAAACAACACGAGAGAGACTAAATTAGTTGCAGGATGGATCTAGATTATATTCTGACCAATTCCCTGTACAATCTATCTACTTTCTTCAAAATAAAAAATGAACATAATAAGGTATGGTACATACTAAGGTTTAAGCTATAACGGATAATCTACGGAAGCTCTTTAACGCCAGGCAAAGAAGGTAGAATGACAATCAAGGGATCGCCATATCCAATAGGAGCTGCACAACACATACACCAACGATCGCACCACTAGAATATCAAGTCGCACACTGCATGCATATATAAATGATCGTATCACACTCCAAGAAACATACATACATACATACATACCTCCATTTTCCAGCAATATGCTGACAACTTCTCCCGATACATTAGCCTGCAAAAGTTTCAACCCGAAACACAAGGAAATACGATCAGTTGTAGACCGTTGAATGTAGTTCAAAGTGATTAAGAAATTATATGTCGAAATCAATGTCCAAATTAAACCTCAACAAGCATCTCCTCACCAAGCTGATCAACGTAGCAGAGAACTTGGCCCTCATGGACTACTTGATTCTGTTAAGAGTACCAAATAAACATTCAGTTAGTAGTTGGACGAGAACCGGATGAGAGATCATACAACGCAGTCTTGGACCAGAAACACAAAGAGATTTAAAATTGTGCATAAATGTCAATTTTAGCAAAAAGGTGGTTCTGATCCTACCTCTTTACAAGATGGTCGACTGCTCTTTCCTTTAACAGCACGAGATCTCCTAAAAAAGCCAACCTGCAACACGAAAACTTAGTGCTGGACTGCTGGAGACACACACGTACAACTTGTATTAATATCATATTAATCATATATGTAACTCAAATTCACCCAACTAAAAGTTGAGAAAACAAAGGTGAGTTGAAAATATGCTGATAAAGAAAAGAAAGATTAAAAGTAGATGATGTGTTGGATATTTAGAAAAATGTCGTAGAGATGTACGTGTGCAGGACACTGCACTTAATGCCGGAGACTGTGCGGTCTTTTTCCCGGACGCTTTCGACTGGCTAACACAGAAGAGCTCACGTATTCTTTGCACTTTTAGAGATACGTAGCAATTGAGCGTTTAAGCTTATTTTTCCAGTGTAATTCGAGAGGTCTGGGAAGACAAGTATTTATAGTAGTGAGAATACCTGACTTCCCAGTATCAGCCACAACCAACCGAAAAAATAGACGAAAAAACGCAAAGAGAGGAACGCTAATCGCGTTCGTAATCGCCCACTAACGCGCACAATTCTCTCTGACTTTATTATTTGTGCGTAGACTAAGAATAATTCTGTGGTCGCCCACTAACGGCGCACAATTCTCTCTGACTTGACTTTATTATTAGTGCGTAGACTAAGAATAATTCTGTGGAGTAGCGAAGAAGTAGGACAAAATATAATTGCCGCGTAAAACTTCGACCCCACCACACCGCGACGCGCGTGCGAACTGAGCCGAGCGGGCGGGCGGCGGCGGCGCGCGCGGGGACTTCTCCTTTCCCTCCCTTGAAAAGATTTCAAAGACTCCAAAAGGAGTGGAATTTAAATTATGGGAAAGTAGTCCCTAAGAGACCAATGTGGGACAAGTAGCAAGGCAAAACTCCAAAACTCCAACATCCTTGAATGTATTCTCCAACAATCCCCCACACATTCAAGAGGTGTGGAAGAAGGATGTTTCAGTACAATCCCGAAGGCTGAACTTAATATCAGTGTGTAAACTTGAACTGACACGTAGTGACCTGAGTAACTTACTTCCCAAGAGTGAACTAAGTCTTGAACTCTTTGAGAAGTGGGTAGTTTTGAACTCTGGTTCACACATCAACACTTCAGGATGTCCTCCATGTAGGTACATAAGTCTTTTCATGGCTTCGTTTGACCACTACAGTGGTGTCCACCTTGAATTCCTTATCTCTTATTTTAAGCCCATTTCCCTTGACGTGTCAAGGATAGCTTTTCGGTTTAGTCCTTTTGTTAGGGGATCTGCAATATTCCTCTCGGACTTCACATACTCTAGTGTGAGTACTCCATTCACAATTAACTGTCTTACAGACTCGTGTCTGACCCTTATGTGTCTTCTCTTTCCATTGTAGGAACTGTTTTTCGCTACACATATGGCAGTTTGTGAGTCACAATGAACAGATACTGATGGAGTAGAATTCCCCCACAATGGCACGTCTGCCAGTAGGTTTCTCAGCCATTCAGCCTCTTGCCCAGCCAGGTCAAGGGCTATGAACTCAGCTTCCATTGTTGACCTGGCTATACATGATTGCTTCGTGGATCTCCACGACACAGCAGCTCCTCCCATGGTAAACACATACCCACTGGTGGAGCTTACGTCATCACTGTCATTGACCCAGTTTGCATCACAATATCCCTCCAGGACATTCGGAAACCCACTGTACTGCAGGCCCCACTCAATGGTGCCTCTCAAATAGCGCAGTACTCGTTTCAGGGCATGCCAGTGAACCTCACTTGGATTGTGAGTGTACCGACTGAGTCTATTGACTGCAAGAGCGATGTCGGGTCTGGTATAGTTCATTAAGAACATCAGACTTCCTATTAATTTCGCATAATTTTCTTGTGCCACTCCTGCTCCAGTGTGTTTTTGTAGTTTGACACTGGAGTCATACGGCGTTGGAGCCGGGTTCACTTCATAACTGTCAAATTTCTTTAACAGTTTTTCTGTATAGTGACTTTGTGATAGCTTGTAGTTATTTTCACTTTGTATGACTTTTACTCCAAGTATTACATCAGCCTTCCCCAAGTCTTTCATGTCAAGTTTTTCAGAAAGTGACCTCTTGGTCTTCTCTATTGCTTCGACATTGGGGCTGAAGATTAGCATGTCATCTACATAGATGCAGATGAGTACCACGCTAGACTCAACTTCTTTTGAGTATAGACAAGCATCTGATCTGTTTACCACGTAACCCAGATCCAGTAGTGTGGTGTGAAATTTTTCATACCACTGTTTTGGAGCTTGTTTTAATCCGTAGAGGGATTTCACTAATCTACAGACCTTTCTTTCTTGTCCTGGTTCTACACACCCAGGAGGTTGGTCCATGTAGATTTCTTCTTCTAGGTCTCCATTTAGGAAGGCCGTTTTGACATCCATTTGATGGACTGTCCACTTATGCGCTGCGGCTAGCGCAAATAGCACTCTTATTGTTGCTATTTTTGTCACAGGTGAGTAGGTACAGAAGTAGTCTTCCCCAAACTTCTGTCTGTAGCCCTTGGCCACTAGTCTCGCCTTAAACCTTTCTATTGACCCATCGGGTCTTAGTTTCCTTTTAAAGATCCACTTGCAACCAATCGGCTTAGCTCTTTTGGGAAGTTCTACTATTTCCCAAGTGTGGTTAGACTTTATTGAGTCTAGTTCACTTTGAACGGCTTCTTTCCAGAATACCGCATCAACTGAGCGCATGGCCGCATCGTAGGTCTTTGGTTCTTCTTCTAGAACCAGCTGACACACGAACTGTTCAGAAAGTTCATTTACGTCTTTCAGCTCAGTTATGTACGTTATAAAATCCGACCCAAACGTTGTTTCGGTTCGTTGTCTTTTGCTCCTCCTGAGTTGTTCAGGCTCACTCTCCACTTGTGAGTAAGGAAGTGAAAGTGATTCATTCACATTTGGGGTCTTTAAAGGAAAGATAGTTTCAAAGAACTCAGCTTCCCTGGCTTCACATATAGCCCGGTTTTCTAACTGCATGAACCGATAGGCTGCACTATTCTCTGCATACCCAACAAAGACTGCATCTACAGTCTTAGACCCAACACTGGGTCTTTTGAATGAGGGTAGCCCCACTTTCGCTAGGCACCCCCACACTCTGAAGTATTTCAGATTCGGGGAGTATCCTTTCCACATCTCATATGGAGTATTGTCGTACCCCTTGTGGGGTATTCTATTTAGAATATGATTAGCTGTAAGTGCAGCTTCTCCCCAAAGTGCATTAGGAGCACCTGAACTTACCAGAAATGCACTTATCATTTCTTTGATAGTTCGGTTTTTTCTCTCGACTACGCCATTCTGTTGTGGCGTATAAGGGGCTGTAACTTCATGGATTATTCCATGTTTTTCACATAA